GTTAGCATTTCAGAACCATTATTTCTATGAATTGCTATAAATGATTGAACTTGTTTTGAATCTGCAGACCCCACATAATATATTCTTGATCAAAGTCTGCATGTTTACCCCTTGAGTAAACTTACTACATACGCTTTCTGACAAGGCTGCTTTAAGATGCCGAAATTAGCTTGAAATACTTCCTTTTAGAGTAGCATAAAGTGGAGACAGGAAATGAAACTGTCCATGGCGGTGTCCTTTGAAATAGCCACCATCAACACCTTTTTGACGTCAGAGAGCAAATCGTTCACAAACGTGACCTTCTATTATTAGTTTTGTCGTTGCCCGTTCCATCAACAACATAAAATTACATGCACAAATCCTCGTGATATTTATTGTGTTACTCATTGACTCTATTCGCTAACGTTGATTTCGAGTAAGGAAGAAAGAGGTAACTTGCAATGTCTGCCGGGTGCAAAAGTTTCGGGTGTCGACGGAGCTAATATCCATTATTTCACAAGTTAGGCAAACACAATATTCTAAACACTTCTTAGTACATAGCAGGACTAATAATACTCCAATATGTCAACGCCAAACGGTTGTTTGCCAGGTGTAGAGATTCTTTAAATGTGTCAGGTTGGACTCGTCGCGTTACAAAAAATGCCTCTTGCCCAACCATCTCTTATGCTTCTTCTTCAGTTTTAAACTGCACGATACGGCTTGCTTTACAATTCCTTAAGAGCACACTATCTTTAATGTTATTTGTCACACGTTCTTTCACTCCCAAGATCTAATTAGTAATTCTCCTTTCTATCTGTCACACAATTCTTATGATGTCAGTTCAGAGAATTTGGTATTGGATCAACTGATGATCCCATGATTAATATTCTTCTCTATTCTCATCACCTACCTGCTTGATATTGTATTGATATTGTAAGGAGAAATTCTGTCTTGGTCACTTGTGGGAGTGAAACGGTTAACTAATTTTCGTTTGATGTTGACCTTCTTCATAACTGAAGAGGTTTGTGCTTCGTCAAGTCGAAGTTACGTAATATGTTCTAACGAGTGGTTTTCAGGAGCCTTTATTGTTGGCGTTCTTTTTTCAGTTCAAAAGAAAAACCTCAAAGAATGAGTATCTAGAAATTTTTTTTTCAGATTTAAGGAAAAATGGAATGTCGCAACTGTTGAGTTCTCAAGCATTTGATGCGGCATTAATTACCTAAGCCTCTCAATAATTCTCAAAAGAAATGAATTCACGACTATTATTGTTGAGATTATTATTTTTACTATTAACATTATTTATTGTTATTTTATCGTTCTCCTGTGTCAGTCTTAGTCTCCATATAGCAGAAAGTGGTTTATCATAATGAATTTGAGGCAGTATAAACTCAATATTGATAACATAAAGGGACGTATAGAGAGAGATGTTGCATAATCTTGTTCCGATTTTTCTCTTTTCAATTTTACCGTACCTGTTTAAGATTTAATTTGACCATTCGATCATTATTCAATGACCAATTGAAACAAAGAGCAAAGTTTTATTTTATTGTGGCCCATGATGTAATCTGATTACGCTCCTTAAATAATCAGGTGTTTGTTCCAATTCATAATTAATTTTTATATCAAAATTATGCAGATAGCATGAGTTGTAATTCATCTTAAACCACGAATTTAAAACCAGCGCTTATTTGTGGATGCTTAAATGCTGATGCTGCTTGACAAGTGTACTGCCTTCCAGTTATTTTATTCTCAAATACTTCATCAAATGTTTCCGCATCTTGCTGAAATTGGAAGGGATCCGTTGTTTGCAGTCTGAGCACGTCCCTGCACATTAATCCAATCCATTAAATCCTCTGGATTATCTGCTCAAAGTCTCTGTTGGTAAAGTTTGCGCACAATACACGTGGCTTGACATGCGGAACATATCACGTTTTCCAAAGCATTCAGCAAGTAAAAGCATTGCTACTCCCTCTCTCCTCCCATCGCTGTACCCTTCT